TTCTTTTAAAGCAGTTATATACATTTTAGGAATGCTTGATTTGAGAATATGACCTTCGGCAATCCAATTTCGCGTACCTTTAAAAGAGTGTCTATGCTAATAAAATTATTATTTTCAAAGTCCAAAATATTGTTTATGTTTGCCCAACCAGCTTTATTATCTTTAATTACGTAATATGTAAGGTGAAAAAAGTGAGACACGGTTACCCAGATATTATGATTATGTTTATATTCCAAAAGTTTGTTAACAAAAAAATAAAAATGAGTTTGATATCACGATTTTAAATTATAGAAATCTTGTTCAAAATCAATTATTTACAAAGACATTTTTTTCAAATATGTTATTTTTTATGATGATCAAAGACATTTAAATCACAAAATTTAAATGAATAACAATTATTACTAAAAAAAGTTGGTTTAAATGACATGTAAGGTAGTACCACGGAAAGTGTCCGTCGTCACCTTAAAGAACATGAAGAAAAGAAAGAGAAAACAATAAAAATATTCTTTTTATTGAACGAAGACATACTTTTGCTATAATATTTTACACATTTTTACCAACAACAGTGTTACGCTTAATTTGATCGCTGTCCTTTTCATATTTATTTAGATATGTGATGTTTGTGCATGTTTTACAAAGAACTCAAGCATGTCAAAGGTATTAATAGTTACAAGTAAAATGGTTTCCTGCGGTGAACATTTTAATGATATAAAGACATTTCATTTAACTATTTTCAACATTATTTGGGGGTGGGGGATAAATGAACGTTTGTATCAGGAATATAGTTGACTATTGAATAAACGATCAATGTAGAAGAAGGTCTTTAGAAACTGGTGACCGTTGAAGGTCGAACATAAAACAATTATTTCTTTTTAAGAAAATGATTAAATAGGCCTACCATTTTATGAATTATTCCGAGCAAAACATAAAAAAGTAAACACACAAGTTTACGCAGAAAATATCTCTATTTATTATGGCAGATGCCACTACGAATATTTTGATTTTGTAGATTTTCAGTATAAATAATTTATTATTTTTAAAATTTGAGATAGATATTAAAGAAACATTGATAATTTTCAAACACATCATTCAAGTTTTCGCACCTTAAACGGTAAAATAATTATAGAAATTTAGAAATATCACGCAATAGTTTTTTGTTCTTAATTAGGTGTAATTCGGACTAATTCCCTACAGGTAAATCCGTAACGTACCGGCAAACGTTATTTAGCTAGGTTTTCGAAAAGGTCAATTAACCAATCATGTACGGTTTACAGATCACATGCTCCTCCAAGTACCGAAAACAGGTCACGTGCTCCTCCATGCCTCAAAAGTTAAACGCGTACCAATACCCTGCGGTCTGGAGACAATTTGTATATGCTTTGAGTTGAAATCTTACTGCTGTTTGTTTGTTATAATATCGGTTTATATTTATTTAAAAAATATTTGATAGCGTTGGCCGTGTTAATGCCTTGCTCGTCCATTTCAGTGATTGCTCTATAAAATCTCAGTAAGTTATAGAGTTAAATGTTTAAGAACGGTGTATAGAATGTTGTTTTTCGACAGTCTTACGTGGCAAAAATATGGGTAGCTGTGTCTTCCATGTTTTCATATGTTATTCGCAGTTGTTAAACTGTGCATGAGAAGTTAAATATGAAGGGGTCATTTATATGTTCTCAAATGCATAGAAAGATCAAGTATATTTGTAACTTCTGCTTTGCTCAAAACAAAAATGAATGTAAAGAACAAGTTATATTGTAAATTCTGTTTTGCTCCAAACAAAATTTACTTTTAAAATTCAATTTTTAATTTTTTCGTGTTGGGCTTTCTTTTGGAATTCTTGTTTTCTCTATTTCATTGCCACATCAGCAATGTTTGTGCCGTGTGTGGAGGCTGTGAAAAGTCGCCCCATACATTCAATCAGAGATGTAATATTTCCGATCCTTAAAGATCGTTCGGCACGACATTATTGTTGTGCTTGTGGTAATTTTGTTCTTTCTAGTCGGCTATTTTCTTGTTGGGTGGTTCCAAGTATTCCTCACTTGAATACTGTTGAATCACTCTTAGGATATGTGGCCTGGTTTTTAGATTTGTCTTTTGACGTTTTATCTGTGATATGCAGGCTTCATAACCTCTGATCCCCTTTCAAAATTCCATTATATTAAGTTTTGCCCATTGTTTTCTCATTTAGGGCACACGCATTTATTTACATAGAGACCATATGCCGCTTTTCATGGAATGGCACTTACGTGTTACATTGAAGGTTCCATGATAATTGCCATATGAAAACATCTGCAGATGTTTCAAAATTGTACCAGTTCAATGTTGAATGTTACATTCTGCTTAAGCTGGTACTAGGGGGCGTGGACGGTAGTTTGCACTTGACAGTACCGTCCATGAACATGCTCAATCAAACCGAGCCTGCAACATTTTCAACTTTGTCTTGTTGGGCTTTCTTTAGGGATTCTTTTTCCTCTATTTACTGTTAATATATTGACATTAACAATTCTAGACATAACTCATATAGCTGCAATATGTTAAGCGGCTTCACATATAAGACGCACCTCTAAAATATTCTTTGACGGTTTTGTTCAATTTGTTATCCTCCGCCAAAAGATAAGTGCCGGCACATTGAAACTGTCTATAAGACATTATGTTGAAAACTATCTACATCTTAAGCCATATTTTATAAAATTGGTTTTTATTAAACTCACCATGAATATCTTTTGTAATAAGGAAATAGTGCTGAATAAAATCTAAGCGTTAAATTTTGACTTTTGTCTCCTTGTAAGTGTAACATGAATGTTTACTACAAACATTGAACAACAAATTATTTATAATTTAAAGTAAATGTGAGTTCGAAATTCAGGAATCAAGATGGATAAAAATGAAATGTCATGCTTCCACAAATACCACCTCACCCCTGAATACCAGTAGGTAAAGTTTCGGCTATTTAGTTATCATTGTAGGAACCATAATTTTGTATATCAATTCATAGTTTGCTTCCCTTTGTCAGTTTTAATAAAAGAGAAAATGTAAGAGTATTTTAATAAGTTTTAAAAAATAAGATGGCTTTGTATGGAATATTTAAAGTGCAATTTTTTTCAAACAAAATGAAGACGTTACTAGATAGTTTAGAATTTGTTGTATGTTGTTAATTTATATTACATTTCTTATGATATTATAATGAAATAATTCATGTGTATGTGTCAATAGAAGAATATTTAAGCAATTTTATCACTAGAAATAAGTACTTAACGGGAGATCATCAACACAATTAAGATGGAGTTATTGTTCTCTTGCAGTGGACTCCCTCTCGAAGTTATATATCTTTATTCCAATTTTCACAGGAATATGTCATACCATTGGAGTTATTCGCTGAATAGGTTATTACTTGCCATTCTTAGCTTAATCTGTTGGAAAAAGCATTGGCATAGGTAGTATGGGTCTTGGTGTGTCATATGGCACGCCATCGTTTTTATGGTGAACATTTGTGCAGTTATTTCAAATGAACATGCGAGGGGCATTTATAAAGTATTAATCAGTGTCAATTTTTACCGTTAATTTGAGCGCATTTTATACATATTATACATGTATGGAAAGGTAAGACTGTCCTCTACAATTATATGCACGAGGAAACCGTGAAATACCTACGCAGTGAGCGAAATGTTCACTTGAATCGACTACGGTCAGGTACACTGCAGTTGACAATGGCAGAAAAAGAGAACAATTTTCAAGACGAGCAAAGAGTGTATTGTTAAATTCGCGCATTGCTTAGTGTTGCTGTACTTAGACTTAGACAAGGTTTATGGGGATAGTGCCCTATCGTATTCCACAGTTATAAGATGGGTTCGACTTTGAACCTCCGGTAGAGAGACTACAAAAGATGAGGCCCGTCCTGGTCGTCAAGTCACAACAATGACTTACGAAAATATTGCTGCTGTTAAAAAAGTTGTTGAAGATGATGCCACCTGAACAGTGAAGGAGATATTTATGTGACATTATTTCGTTATCGGTTTTTCAAATATTGACTCGCGTGTTAAAGTTACGCAAGGCTTGTGCCCGGTTGATACTCAACCTTCTCACTGAGGACCAAAAACGGGAGCGAGTGCGAATTGCGTCACAGCTGCTCGATAGCTACAAACATGCTGACCAAAACCGTATATATGAAATTGTGACTGGTGAAGAAACATGGGTCTATTTTTATGATTTGTTTGTTTGTTTCATTTTACGCCTTTTCCCAACAGTATTTCAGTCATATAGGCAGTCATATAGGCGGGTAGTTGTGAGCCTGATGGTAAAGAAAAAAATAAGGTGTGGGTCGGTGAAAAAGATGAACGGCCCCAAATTGCCCTTACAGCATGCACTTCAAAACGCATTATGTATGCATTTTTTTATATTGTCAGGGAAAGGTGGCTCTATTTTCCTATAATAGAAGGCAGGAGTGTTACTGTAATCTTTTATCGAGATTCAGTTCTTTCTGCTGTTGTAAGTCACTATACTTCAGCCCGTCCCCGTACCGGCGTACGCGGAATCACACTCTTGCATGACAACGCACCTGTCCACTAGTCAGTGGTGTTTAAGTCGCATCTAAGCGACAATAGCATTGAGACTTTACCACAACCTGCATACAGCCCAGATCTTGCTCCCTGCAGCGCACTTTTCCAGTGTCTAAACACTATACCCAAAGAGGCCTACCGAAACGCATGTTCTAATTGGATTTGGCGCTTGAAAAATTGCATACAAAGCGAAGGGGAATACTTTGAATGGTTGGTCTAACAATTTCCGTAGAAATATTACGTCTACGACTAAAGTGCCACATTGATAAATACTTTATTAATGCACCTCGTACGGTCCAAGTTCAATATATACCTTCCATCAGAAAGTGATGACCTTTGCCCTCAAAGTGTGACCTTGATATTGGTGCACGTGCTACATGGTCTTATAATGATAAGTATTATTGCAAAATTCCTAAACCGGACACGAAGTGCGGCGGACGGCCAGACAGACGTAAGGGCGGAGCCTATAAATATAACGCATTTTTATTCTAAAGGGTTGGTGACAATAAGTGTCCATGTTTTATAACAAATGTTTGTGTTTAAATAGATATATTGGTCGCATTAAACAATTGTCATATTTTTTGTCCTACCTCTGTGATGTTTTTGTACCACTTGAAAAGATCCAAGTTGTTTATAACTTTTCACAAGTTCCTCAAGATGACAGTCACGCTCAAACCAATATGTTGTGACCCGACTCGTCTGTTCAATTCTTTGGAGCTGTTCCTTGACAAGGTGAAGATTATGCTTGTAAGAGACTGCAGTTATAAATAATCTGTAAGGCTGATCAGCTTCCGATTGTAATGTTTCTCTCATTTTAGTTGTTTCATCAACAAGACTTTTACTTTCTTTTTCCAGGTTTTCAATTGTTGTCATGTCAACTGTCATGGCATCATCTCCGAGCTTTAGCATTCTATCTGCGAGATGTGTGATATGTGAAATCATTTCATCCCTAAACAAGCGGACAGCGCATGCAAATTTGTTGTTGACATCTGTAACATGGCATTTTTTTCGTTTGATGCTTTCTAACATCTGTTTTGCTTCAATGTTATACCTATCTATGTCTCCCTTGAATATTTTTGACTCTTCACTATCCTTATATTCATTGATGTGTTCAAGAATATACTCTACTTTACAGTTTTTATGGGAAATAATAATACAATCAGCACAACCTACTTGGTTATGTTCGGGACAGAAAAATTTAATAGCCTCATTTAGATGTTTAGTACAATTATCCAACGTAGGTGTTTCTTCTCTTAATGGTACCTCAAATGATTTGACCAGCCTATGCTCCCGACTGACTTTGAATTGTACGTGAGTATCAAAGCAACTTTGGCACATTTCTTCTTCACAATGTAAGCAGGACCTGTCTGTGTATGTCGATGACTTTCGTTTCTCACATGGTTTACAAAGGTTTCGATGTTTCTTTCCTGTCACCTCCATCATTTAAACGTCTATAAGGTCTGCAACTATAAAAGATAATAAATACAACATATTTTTAGGTTGTTATGGTATTGTTTATTGCATTTTTTAAATTTATCCTTTAAAATATTAGTATCGTCTAATTGTGTGTTTTTACAGGAATCGAATCTCTTCTAAATAACTGATGAAAAGATTTTACAATATGTAAAGATATGTCATTATTATTTCGCATCAAAGCTCTTATTTAAATGAAATTATGTACATCCAGAGTGTATTGTGAATGAACCAGTGAAAACAAAAATAAGTTAATTTGCCATTATTCTGTTTTATAATTTACTTCGCATGAACCAATGCAATTTCGGTAAATATTCATCGAAAATCACATTAACGTTCAATTTATAGAAAGAATGAGGCAGACATTTTTTTAAGACTGATTTATGTATTTTGTCCTAAACATTTTCAAATATTCAACTTGACAATGAAAAATTAACTTAAATACAATTAAAGATTTAAATACATTATAATTTACTTGCATGTCATTAATTAATAAGTAAAATAAATGGTTTGAGTTTTCGTCGCCCAAATTCCATAATGATGTAAGTCGTATTTTTACCATTTTGAGAAAATCGACTTCAAAGATTTAACAGGCTATATCTTCACACTTACTCAACCAATTTTAATATAAAATACATCATAGTGTGCAGAATTATTTTAACTTTTACACTTTTGATTACGAAGAAGTTCCTGTAGATAGTTTTTTAAAAAATCAAAATAAAAGAAAAGAAAAATCACTGAAAAATATATTTTATTGACAAAAATACAAGAACCAGAATGCTGTAATAAGTTACAGCAATGTGACCCTAAAATATCATTACATTTAGGAGTTAAAACAGTGTGAAATAATGACTATTTTACTGTTTTGTACTGAAATTATATTAAATTTAGACGTAACTAGAAATTGAATGCTTTAACGAATAGTCTTGATCCACATTTATTTAGGCACCACAGAGCATGGAATGTGATCAGGATCAAAACAGTAAATTTAGTCTTAAAAGTCAATAATAGAAATCAAGACAATGCGGTGAAGTGTGAATAGCCACGAACAGGCATTTTCAGGTTGAAATTGAACTTGGGCATTAGCTTCATTATCTTATGACCATTTAAATGAAATAGTGAGCCTTTTAAATGAACAAAAAAATAAAATATTACTGATTTTGTAAATGTATCACATTAAGTTAAACAAAACGAAATCAAAATTTAGATACATCGTCATTGTATTGATATTTACCACATTAAATAGCAAAACTTTTATCATATGATATGCTATTTTCACATTAACACTGTACACTATAAAATATTTGGAATTCAGATTTACTTTTGGTTTCGTTTATTATATCATTAATTCATTCCAAATTCAATTTTGAATACCTGTTACTTGCATACAAACAGCATGTTGAACACAATTTGACTTACAAAACACACAAAAATGTTTGAAAGATGTAACTGCTTAAACTTTGAAAAACAACATCAACAATGAGTTCCTTTCTCTGTAACATGAAAAAGAATAAACCTATGTATTTTACTTTTCTAAGAACAGCATTACTTAATGTTTTGTTTAAAAAAATGAAAAATATGAAACACAACTCAAAGCTCACACATTTTCAAAGATGCTACAGATCTGGATATGGTGTTTCAATGAACTACTGTACTTCAATTACTACATGTATTTATATATCAAGTGGCATACAACTTCTTTACATACAATATCAATTAAGTATACGTTTGCTTTTAATGTTTTAACTGAACTGTTCACATCAATAACTCATTCGTATAAAAGCAATGCTCAATATCTAAGAGTTTCAGTCAAATATTAATTATATTTTACTTCAAGAAGCGTTTGATGAAACAAATATGACAATTTAAAGATTCTTTAATGTTTTATATGGTTTTAAGACTTTGTAACATTTTTTCACGAAATCGTTTTTTCTACGTTGCAATCGAATGACAATTTTTAACTAAGCATATTTTTTTCTTTTTAAAAAATAGTTTTGGTAATGGATAATTTTCAGTTCAAAGGTTCAAATCACTTGATAATTACATGTAGTATTACCTTACGAGTTGGAAGTAGATGTACAAGAATTATTTTTAAGTTAGAAACTTAGTTTAATTTTGCTTTGCATGTTCCAATTACATAAGAAATTTTAGCATAAGATTGAAAATGATTATGTTGACAAAAAGGTATAGACTGACACCCTGTTGATTTATGCAAAATAGCTGAGTAGGTCAACAGGGTGGCATTCTGTTTAATAAGTATTTGTTGTGCAAATCAACGCTAAATGGTGCATCTGAGACAACTCGATCTCAGCTTTTAAACTTTTGTTATAGGGATATTGTCAACTTTAACCCACCATATAGTCTTTGACGTTTGGACGTACTGTTTTAAGAACACAAACGAGTGATGTAGGACTGAACACTTCTGCCATTTTAAAAGTGTTTTGTATTTCTTTCTATATGACAGTGGGTATTGTTAACCACTCTGGATTGCATTATGCCTTGGACAGCAAAACTTTTGATATTTTTGTGATCGTTATATGAAAGTGCAGAATTTTGAAATTATGAAAATTATGAATAAACATGATTAACCTAATTTAACATCAGTTATGAGTGGTAAAGTTATATGTGTTAATTTTATTCGAATAACTTAGCACCAGAACGGTAATTTGTCTTATATAGTTAAAGAAAAACATTGTACAAAATGTAACAATGGCAGTAACTAGTATGTTTGTTTCTATTTGATGAGTTTTGTGTAAGTTAAAAGTATAAACAATCTTATGCAAAACCTGATTGTCCGTATTTAATGGCAACATTGATCAATCAATCATATAATCAATTACATATCAAGTATTTAACAGCTGATACTTGTGAATATTGAAAGTGTGTATCAATTTATCCGATTTCCATGCTATCCGAATTTCATAACACAGCATGGCGCTTTGAATTTAGCTAAAGGGCTAAGAGTAGTTATTATTTCTTTTTAAGGTTTGAAACAGTTCAATAAAATATTAATCTATAGATAATTAGATAACATCTAAAGCAAAACACTTACATGTTATCAAGAAATATAAAACGTAAAATGTCATTCCTGATACCTTGAAAAATCTGCCATTTTGTCAAAACAGCATCACGTGACTAGAATCTTAACAGACTATTGGTTCAGAAGTTACGATATTATGGACTGTATTTTTATCACAATTTTTGGAATTACAGCACTCTGACCCATTCAATATATCGTTACAGGCAAGAACCAGAGTGATGTTGTTCTTACCATTAGATAGAGAAAAAAATTACGAACATTTTGTTACCAAACACTCATTTTTTTCAAAATTGGAGTTACGACACTCTGGAATTAGGGCGACGTTTTATTTACTAGTTGTTCTGTATACGAATTGAAAGTGTTTGTTTAACGCAAAATGAATCCACAAACTGTGGAATTAATTTTTGGCAAATATTATCTGTATGCTATATATTAAATGATTAACATTCAAAGACATCAGTTCATTTACCACCAATCAGATAACATCCAAGTCGCTGAACCCTAGATTGAGTACCTTTTCTTTGACGAAATAGCGATGATGTAGGACTTAATGATGATTGTTTGCCATGACATGCTTGAATTACATAGTTATATTACGTATCTTATATCAAAGCACATTTTAGTTTTAATTGTTGTGAGATTTGTCTTTACTTCTTTCAAAAAGATTAATGATACACACACATCTTCATTGTTAATGGTGTAAAATTATGGAGGCTATTCGTTGCCAAAAATCCAGCCTTTCAAACTTGACAATGCATACTTCGGTTCTACTAAACAGATTAGTAAAAATCTAATTGTCGAGTTACATACTGCACTGGTATTAAGCATTTTGATTATCTCGATTTGATAAAATGGAAGCTGTTAACATGCAACTTAGATAAATTGCAAACTGTATTTATAAATGGATAACTTCAAATTTGCGACATGTGGAAATGTAAACGATAGAACGTAAATAATATGTTTAATGCTATACATCATGACGTTGAGAATGTAACTGCATCAAATTGACACACTCAGGTTTACAACACCACATTTTCCTTTTACATTCTAACGCGATTAACATTTGTAAACGATTTTGCAACTTCCATATATGGAATTATCACGGAAATAGACGAAAAATATTAGGCGGAGCCAATTTTCACGAAAGCAGAATATAAAGAGAGGTAACTCTTGCTGGTACAAAAATATATTTCACATACATCATCTGCATTACAGTTGACTTTCAACTTCCTCTGATTTTGTTTAAACGTATTCTAGTACAGGATATTCAAGTTATGCAAAGTTGGTTAAGATATAATGTAACAATGTAACAACGTTTATCCTGAGTATGAGCAATTAACATAATATATCATATCATATAAAATCACACACACCACAATTTCATGATATGAACGATAGGATTTGTGTGCCTTCAAACGTTACACGATATTACTCGTGTGCATATCTTTTACAATCAGCAAATAGTACTAGAATGCGATACATGGAAGCCACTTTTGGCAACACGACTGAACAGTAAGCCTGTGCCTTCTTTCTTTAAAGGACTATGTCCGGTTTTAGAAAAGCCCATATTTTTGACCAAGTGTATAACCACGAAACAATTCAAAGTTTACTATCGATATTTCCGTTGTATAACCAAAAACTTTGAATTTGTCCCATTTTAATGTTGAAATAAATATTCAGTGTATCCTAACATCTCTGTTCACCTCCATTGGGAGGTATATTGATTCATAAGGATGTGATTTAGCCTTTTATTATTAAATATATGTAAGCTGACGTAGGTTAAGGTCTTTTTATGCATTGTACTGAATCAATAGCAACTCTAAAATCTGTGTATACATGCTGTCAATAGCTGTTACCTAGACTTGCTGTCTATCTGATCAAAAGCAGAGAACTATTTTTATGTACATGAAATACTACATAGAATATTTATTAAGTTTTGTAAGTGATGGCCTT